GAGGTACTGGGGATTAAACTCAGGGGCACTTGACCATGGAGCCACATCCCCAGGCCTATTTTGTATTTTATTTAGAGACAGGGTCTCACTGAGTTGCTTAGTGCCTTGCTGTTGCTGAGGCTGGCTTTGAAGTCAGGACCCTCCTGCCTCAGCCTCTCAATCCACTGGGACTGCAGGCGTGCGCCACTGTGCTCAGCTAATAGACTAATTTTTTAAAGGACTTACAGGTTCATAGCAACTTTATACATTTTAAATACTATTTGCCCACTCTATAGAGCCTAGAGTCACTATGAATAAAAGGTGCTGAGATAAGAATTGCTGCCTGATAGATATCAAATCAGGAAGTGATCTGATACAAATCTGGGAGCAATATAAAGCCACTTACTAGAAGGTGAAGTAAAAAGTCTCATGTCAACTATAAGATTGGAAAGAAATGAACCGGGTATGGTGAAGCACACTCGTAATCCCAGCAACTCTAGAGGTCAGCCTCAGCAACTCAATGAGATCCTGTTTCAAAAAAAAAAAAAAAAAAAAAACCCACTGAGGATGTAGCTCAGTGGCAAAGTGCCCCTGGGTTCAGTCCCAGTATCAAAAAATAAATAAAAATTAAAAGAATGGAAGTAAATGGATGTCGAAGACCCTTCTCTCCCTCCCGTCACTGCTGTACCCTGACCTGGGGGCTCCCACAAGAGGAACATTAACAGTGAGTGGCATCTCCTGGCTCCAGCCCCATCATAGTCATCCTGGAGTACAGGGGTCTCAGCCTCATCTCCAGAACCCATGACTTAGATCCTCTGCAAACAGTGGCCTGACTTATATTCTGTCTTCCCTCAGATTATTTCATTTTATTTGTTTTTGAGGCAGGCTCTTGCTCTGTGGCCCAGGTTCGTCTCAAACTCCTGGGCTTGAGTGATCCTCCTGCATCAGTCTCCTGAGTTGGCTGGGACTACCCTTCTATACCCCTGTGCCTGCCTCCTCAGATGATTTTTTGTAATACTCCAGTCCTTGAACTGTAACAATGAAGCTGGGAGTCCCACAGGTACACCTGATGCCCCTTTCCACTTGCATTCCACTTTGTAATACAGCTCTGGCCATTTAAAAGCATCACTGAACAAGAGCCCTGGCCTTGGAGCTCTCTGTTTTCAGTCCTAATAACAGGATGGTAGAGGGCTTATGACTGCGTCCAAACTCCTTGTTACAATTATCTCATTTAGTCCACTGCCCTCGGGTGACAGAGGAGAGACTGAAGCTTAGGGGGGTGAAGCTAGCAAGAGCTGGAGCTGGGGTCAATCTCAGCTCCTTCTCCTTGTCTCCCAAAGCCCAAATGTCCAACTAGAGTGCTTGGTAGGCTCCCCTCCAGGAAAGGCAGAAGGTGGGAAACAGAAAAACCAAAGGTAGGCAGGACAGGGCGGGACAGGGACAAGGCGGAGAGAAAGTGGGAGGAGGGGAGAGCAGCACGGGAGGAGAGGCAGTGAGGGTCTGGAGGAGGAGGACTGGGACCTTGCTCTGGGTCCAGGAACCCTTCACAGAGTGGAACACAGCAGGAACATTGCTGGTGATGCTGGAGAAACAAACCACAAAATATGCAGACGCCATTTCCTCTCTCAAGGAAGATAAACAATAGAGCCATAAACAAATTTTACAAAGCTGTCCAGCTATTTAAAGCATCCTGGCAGAGACTCATATTCTTTATGAGCCCTGCAAATGGTCAACAGCTACCTGAGGGAGGGGAGAGGTGGGAGGAGAGGAAAACACTTCTTCCCAGTTCTTGTCCTGTTAGGTTGGTGGCTGTGCTGGTTATATCCTCTCTGAGCTTTGGTTCACTTTTTTTTTTTTTTTTTTTTTTAAATATCTTTAGTTGTAGATGGACACAATGCCTTTATTTTATTCATTTATTTTTATGTGGTGCTAAGGATCGAACCCAGGGCCTCACACATGTTAGACAAGCGCTCTTCCTCTTAGCGACAACCCTGGCCTGTTTGGTTCACTCTTCTGTGTGAACCAATAGGGCCACTGTGGACAAGAAATAAGATAAATGTCATCCAGCAATAGGTGGATGACTCCATCCTCTTAATTGAAGCAACCAATCCATTAGATAAAAAAATAAATAAATGTAAAGGTTGTATGCACATGTGGACAGTTGGTATAAATGGAAAGATTATTCAAAGACCATAACCAAAGAGGAAAAAAACAAAAAACAACCTAGTAATAACAAGAGCAGGACCCCTGGAAGGTAAGCTAGTACCAAAACTGGCCTTTACCCTGAAGGCTTTTGGCTCTGTGGACTTCCATTGAATCCTGAAGATTGTAAGTTTCCCATTGATAGCTGCACAGGCTTCAAAGCCTAGAGAGACCCATAAAGCTAAGACTCCAAGTGGCTCCATTCTCATTGAGGAAAAAAAAAAAAAAAAAATCCACAGCACAGAGAGAACTGCAAGTGAACCTGATGTTGGGCTGGGAAAATAATCTCCTGAAAATTTGGAACCATAAACTGGACTTCACACAGCTTCGCAGTCTGAATTATGTTACTTGTGTGGCCAGAAAATCCTGAAGCAGATAATTAATTTAAAGCAATTTTTTTATTGGTGCCCCCTAGTCCCCCACCCCCCACCTACACACACACACACACACACACACACACACAAAAAAAAAAAAAAAACCCAAAAACAGCAGTACTTAAAGCAAATCTTCTCTGGAAAAACCAACTTCAAACCACACCTCAAACAGTTCTCAAAGATAAACTTCCAAGGAGAATGAGCAATGACAAAAAACAAGAAATGTGAACCCAGCCAGCAGAAACAACAGGTGGCAGAAGCAGACCTCAAGGACCCTGGAACTGCCAGACGAGACTGTAACATTTCCAAGTAGCTAATTTAACATTTCAAAGAAGTAAATGTCTAAATGTCTCCAAATATGTACAAGTAATGAGAGACCAGAAAAATCACTAAGCTGGTTTGAAAAATAAAATCAGAACTTCTAGAAATGACAAATAAAGAGAGTGAAAGAAAATAACTTAATGGATGGATAAAACCGCATTTGAGACCCAGAATAACTGAACTAACGAGAAGACAGATTTTTAAGAGATTATTCAATTATTCAGAGTTCAACACAGAGAGACAAAGAGATGAAAGGTAAGCACCGAGGTTACAAGACACGGAGACGAGTAGGAAGGGACAACATGAGTCTACCCGAGGTTCCAGAAGACATAGACAGCGGGAAGAGGCAATACTCAGAAATGAAGGGAAATGAACTTCAGAAATGAACTTTCCTGAATTGTTGAAAGATAGGGATCTTTAGCTCTAGGAATCCCAATGAAACTTATGCAGAATAAAGACAAATTTACATGCAGACACATGTAGCCAGAGAGAAGTGACAGACCACAGCATTTGGATTGACAGCCAACTTCTCAGTAGCAACACTCAATGCCAGAGGCTTTGAAACAATGGCTCCAATGGTGTAGACAGATATAAGGAAAGCCACCTTGCAAAACTAAGAACAAAATAAAAATATTTTCCCACCCACAAAAAACAAAACCAAAGTGAAAAAAATCCCTAGAGTGTGCCACCAAGAGTCCCCCACCAAAGGATAACATGGAAGGATTTATTTTAGGCCAAAGGAAAATGACTCCAGATTCACAGAAGAATGGTGAGATGGTGGCTCACTGGGATCTGTAATCCCAGTGATCTGGGAGGCTGAGGCAAAAAGAGAGTCATAAGTTCAAGGCCAGCCTCAGCAACAGAGCAAGACTCTCTGTAACTTATTGAGACTCTGTCTCAAAATTTAAAAATAAAAAAGAACTGGGGCTGAGCTCAGTGGTAAAGCACCTCTGGGTTCAATCAGCACCAAAAGAGAAAGAAAAAAGTTGAAAAGATAAAGAGGGAATATACAAAAGTAATTCAACTGATTTCAACTCTCTCCAAGAATCCAATCTATTTCATTTTAGGAAAGAGAGAGACCCTGTCTTTCTTGCTCATTGCTGTATCTCCAGGGTCCAGCACATTCTTGGTTTCAAAGGAAGCTCTCAACAGTCCCTAAAGAGGGAATGGTGAATGAATGACTCTAGGGTTGAGGACAGGGCTTGAGTGGGCAAGTGGCAGGGCAGACCGTGGAGTTAACGAAGCCCCTTCCAACATGGAGGGGAGGAGAGGAAAAAGTGACTGGCACCAGTCTCTAGAAGAATTTATTAAAAAAAAAAAAAAAAAAAAGTGGCGACACATGCCTGTAATCCCAGCATCTCAGGAAGCTGAGGCAGGAGAATCTCAAGTTCAAGGCCAGCCTCAGCAACTTAGTGAGGCCTTAAGCAATTTGGCAAGACCCTGTCTCTAAATAAAATACAAAAAAAGGGCTAGGGATGTGGCTCAGTGGTTAAGCATCCCTGGGTTCAACCCCTGGTACCCCCACCAAAAAACCCCCCAAAACCCAAGAAGCAGAGTCACAGGCATGCCAACTATCTCCAAATCCAAAGACAGAGGCATGTGGAAAAGTCTTTGAAAGGCCAGTCTGTGGTTCTATTTGGCAAAGCAGAGATCAGCAGACAGAAGTTCCAGAGAAGCAACATCTATCCCAATGTTAGGAAGAATTTCCCAACAAGTAACAGCCCACATTGGTGTGCAGTGGGCCTGGCTCATGATCTAATGTCTCTTTTGTCTATGTGGGACAGGAGTCTGTCTGGCATGTACAGGAGTCTCAAACTGTGGACTGAACAGTCTCTAATTCTGTCCTACTCTACAGATTCTTTCATTCAACATTCCCTAAAAGACCCATCCAAGTCCCAGATTCCGAAGGTGGAATAAGGAACAAGAGCTCCACTCAGACACTCAGCTCCAAGGCCTTCCCGCGCCCCCTTGGCCACTCCATCACTAAGAAGAGCACATATCCAAGGCTATGCACTAACTCCACCCTCGTTCTGGGACACCCCACTATGACAAGGGATCACAAAAGCATGGTAGAATTTGTTAAAATGAAACTTCCTCCACCTCCTAGGAGGAAGGCAAGCTCACCTTGACTTTGGCAGCAGAGGGCTGAGTTGGGGGCCTGGCTCTGGGGGCTTCTCCTGCGGCCGGCCAGTCATGCTGCTTTCATGCTGCTGGGCTGGGAAGAGGAGACCTGGGTCTGAGGGAAAGGAGAAGGAAAGATCATTTCCTCATCATTGGCTCTTAGTTTGTCTCTATAGTCCTATGGAGGATGCCACCCGGAAGCCCAGGGAGGTCCCAAGGCTGCCCTTACCCTCAGACAAGGGGAGCGGGCAGAAGTGTGTTGGGCAAACCTCTCCCAAGACCTTTAACAGGCCCAGCGGGCACTGAGGAATAGGCCACCAAGATGAATTAGACAGATGCAGTCCTTGCTCCCAAGAAGTGGGGAGAGTGCACACGTTTCACTACTATATAATCTGGTAAGTGCTGTGATTTCCCAAAATTCATCCACTACTATCCTCTTTGTTTTATTGGATTACTGCGGCAGCTTAGAAGCACCATAGCATGGGGCTTCTCAAAACTATTCACAATGAAGGTCTATTTTGTTTTAATTTCTCACCCATCATAAATATGCTTCTGAAATCTGATAAAAATGAACTGATAGAAAAAATAAAAAATAATAAACAGTACTAGCCCACTTTTTTCTTTTTTTTTGGATGCTGGGGATTGAACCAGAAGTGCTTTTCCACTGAACTACATCCCCACCCCTTTTTTTGTCTTGTTTTGACCAAGTTGCTGAGTGTCTCACCAAGTGGCTGAGGCTGGCTTCAAACTTGTCATCCTCTGTCTCAGCCTCCCAAATCACTGGGATTACAGGTGCACTCCACCACGCCTGGCCAGCCCACTTTTTTAAAATTATTATTTGATAGAACAGACTATTGAGACAAGTCAGAGTGAAGTGGCTAAGTGTCTGCTCGCCGTTTCTGTCCTTCTCTTGTGGATTGTGGCTTAGAAAGCAGCATGAGGACCGCTACGGACACACGCTCAACCTTCCTAGGATGTGATGTGTGGCTGGCATCTTGGTTCATGGAGGGAGGCCAGAAGTAAAAATGATTTCAAAGTCCCTCTCTGGACTACAGAAAAGTAGTTCAGGGGGTGTCCCTGTGGGAAGAAGAACCACACAAGGACTTTGGGGGAGTGGTATGGTTGTCTGGAGATGGGTTCAGCTAACAAAGAGTGAGGCTCTGTCCTGGCAGCCTTGTCCACCCTGCCCTTGGACTTCCCAACCCTAGGCTACCTCCCTGCATATGAGAACAAAGAGTCACCTATTAAAATGGATTTGGGACATTTGAGAAAAGAAATCATTTTCAAAATGTCAAGAGGGCTGCTGGTGTTCATTCCAGCTAATGCTCTACAAATGATTTTTTTTTTTTTTTAATTGAGGAATCCTTTGTCTGTGACAGCCAGCGCCAAGAAAAAAGCCTTTATGTGCCCCCTGCCTGAATGCTTGAGGTACTCCAAGTCACTGTCACCCATCTGGACCTTCAAGAGAAGGTGCTCACGGCTCTAAACTCTCAGCCTTTAAGTAGTTCTTATCTTCAACTGTAGAAGATAACTCTGTAGAGGAAAACTTCCCTTTTCAAAGGATTGTATTTTTTTTTTTAAATGCAAACACATAGACACTTACTCTCTGCTTCAAACACTAAATCATCTGCAATTTTGGAGTTTGTTGCTCATGAAATTTTAGCGATAAGCACATCACAAACATTCCTATAGCAACAGAATGTTTTTGAAGCAGTGTCTGCAATGTTACAAAGATTGTATATCATTATCTCTGAATGTTGGCGGAAGAGAAGGTTATGGGGGAAAACTGTTTATGTACAAATAAGTCAAGATGGCAGCTGGCAACTGAGTCACAGACCTCACTGGGGACCAAATCACAGCAGGGTTGGAAGCAGGAATGTACTCAGTTTCTAGGAATAAATTCACCGTCCTTGCCCTTAACGTGTGAAAATAACTGGCCAGGCTCCTCAGAAGCAGCCTGAGTCCCTTGAGCTACTGGTTTCATGGATAAGAGTCACTTTTATTCCTTATTCACCCAGTGTCAAGTATAGGGATAGACTCTAGGTTTCTAAAGATGGATTCTTCTTCAAAGAGGCTCAAGAGAGACATATACTCAGATCATTACTACCTCCCCCCCTTTCCTACAAGAAGAAAAGATTATTGGCTAGAGTGAAGGCAAAGAAAATAAAACTAGCTCAATCCATCCAATCAATGGCTCCATTCACCTCTCTGAAGTCAACTGGGTACCTAAACTGTACTAGGCAAGCACGAGGCACTGGGCCTTCAAGAGTCACGTGAGGGCTGGGGCTGAAGCTGAGTGATAGAGTGCTCGCCCAGCAGTGTGAGGCACTGGGTTCAATCCTTAGCACCACAGAAAAATAAATAAAACAAAGACTTTCTGTCCATATACAACTACAAAGAAAAAAAAAAAGAGTCACATAAGATCAATGTGTTCCCTGCCTTCATGGGGCTTAGAGTCTAGTGGGGGAGGTTAACATTAACAGATCAGAAATTAAAAATAACCCTATCATATAATGGAGACTGGCATAGAAAAGGGCCAGTGTGTTTCCTGAGTTAGTTTTTAATTTAAGCCCTAAGAATCAATTAGTGAAGCCAAGAAGGCAAGGCAGGAGGGAAAGGATAGAGAGAAAGGGGGACGTGCACACCATGGACAGCTTGTACAAAGGGCCTGTGACAGGCAGGAGCACAGCAGCTTTCCCGTGAAGGAAGGAGCACATTGGTTCCTCATCTTACCTCATGCTCCAGTCACTGTGGTAGTCAACACAGTCATTAAAGTGTTTTTTGTTTCTCTGTTATAAAGGCACCCAAGAAGTTACCTTGGGAAATAATTAATTTCTCCTTCTTCCTAGGCTGGCATAAGGCATCCAAAATTGGGGCCAACTAGCCCTCCTTTTTCAAGTTTTAGGATTCTTATCCATTTTTATTTCTTTCCTGCAACAGTGGCAACTTGGTTAAATTCTATTTGGCCAGGGGTAAAATCAGTCAATGCTGAAATAAAACTGACAGGGAGTGTGGGTTTGGGAACGTGGCTGGGCATCCTATTAATAAAATTATTGCTGGAGCAGCCTCACGTGGAAGATACCGTAAGAAGGTCACAGAATTTCAAGCAGAGAACATGGGCTTTGCAGCTAAGAGACCTGGACTCGGAGCTGGACCTGTCCTCACCGGCTCCATGGCCTCGTTCCTCTTCTGGAAAATGGGGCTGGCAGGGCCCGGGGTCTCCAGGGGTAAAGAGAACACAGGTCCACACTGAGGTGCTCCGTGCTCGCTGGCTCCCTGGCTAAGTAGCAGCCATTATTGTCACTCCACCAGTGGGCAGGGCAACCATGTCTCTCCTTCCATGTGAAAATCATCAGGAACCCAAAGGATGGCCCGTCAGTCCTGGAGCAGCTTGGCAAGGGTGAGGGGCACAGACATCTCTGACCAGGGGTCCTGATGACTCACCCTTTCTTGGTCTCCATCCTCAAGCATCCTCAGCCCTGTACCGACAGATCCCCGCCAATCCAGATACCACCTGGGGGGCTCCCAGTGCTCCACCCAGGAGCTCAGGGCTGGAACACCTGGGTTCTAGTTCCAGCTCCAGTTCCCCCACTCAGGACAAAGGTCCCCAGGGACAAAGGGCCAAATCCAGATGGTGAAGGAGGTGATACAGCTAACACATTCTGAAGGCCAAGCATGGTGCTGCGACTTCTCAGTTGGGGCCTCTAACAGTTAAAACAATCTTGCAGGGGACTGGGGTGGTGGCTCAGTGGTAGAGCGCTTGCCTAACATGGGTGAGGCACTGGGTTTGGTTCTCAGCACCACATAGAAAGAAAGAAAGAAAGAAATAAATAAATAAATAAATAAATAAATAAATAGAATAAAGGTATGTGTCCATCTACAACTAAAAATATTTTTAAAAAAATCTTGCAGAATCCCCATGGGGATCACCATTTTACAGGTGACTTGCCCAAGGCCACATAACTGTCTTGAAGCCCAAAGTCCTTCCTTTCTACCCCATTGCCACACCTCCTTATGGGAATCTTGCTCATCTTCCCACATGACCACTGAGGAAATGCCCGGAAGGCTGTGTGACTCCAAGGGCCCACAGCCTGCAAGCCACCAGGAAAGGCCCAAGTTCCACACTGCTGTCCGAGCTTCAGGTTCCCTTCTGCACCATGGCGGTGACAGAAGCTCCCTCAGAGTGAAGGCGAAATGAAGAGGGAAACAATCAACATATAGAAACAGGCGCAGAGGGGCTGGGGATGTGGGTGGCTCGGGACCAGAGCCACGACCTGGCCTGGTGAGGCCCTGGGTTCCATCCCCAACACCGCAAACAAATACATAAATAAATTTCAAAGCTGGGCACACAGAAGCTCAAATCAAAGAGGAAGGGTTCCCCTGAGCCGCAAGACTGCAGGAATGAAGAGACCAGCTCACTTCCCATCGGCCAGGGCAGGGAGGGACATGGGATACAGACCATGGGCTTCTGAAAGGGGAAGCAGGACCAAATGAAGCGTGAAGAAGTCCCTCCATGCCACCCACAATAAATCACAAATGGGCACAGATTTTAAAAAGGAAAAGGGGTGGTGGGGGAGGGGAGAAAAACAAGGAGGAGAAGGAGAAAAATATTAAATGTGAAACAGGATCTACAGCGCACCTACGAAACAGTGCTCAGGGTGATCAGTGCAATGAGAAACCCGAGACGCCAGCCACTTGGGGACCATCCCCTGTCAAGTGAGCGCTCCTCTGTGGAGAGGATGGAAGGACATCTAATTTTTTTTTGGAGAGGAGGGTACCAGGGATTGAACCCAGGGTGGCTTAACCACTGAGCCACGTCCCCAGCCCTTTTGATTTGTTTGGAGACAGTCTTGCTAAGTTGTTGGGACTGGCTCTAACTTGGGATCCTCCTGCGTCTGCCTCCCAAGCTGCTGCGATTACAGGTGTGTGCCACGTGCCTGGTATGGACATCTGATGTTCAAGGGAGACCCAGAAACTTTTTAATATGAGGACAACTCCCAGCAGCTCTCTTCTTTTGATCCTATACCCTACCCTGTTCCACAGAAACTGAGAAAAGAACAATTTTTACGAACTAGAGAAAAAGGGCCCCAGCTAGGCCTTCCTGAGATATAGGCA